TAGCACGCACTGTATAGTGAGATTTATAATCATAAGATCTGGAGGAACAGATTTTCAAAGCTGAACTCAGTCTGGTTTGAAGCGTCGAGCGGTATAGATAGATCTAACGAGTGAGAGAATCGGAAAAGTGATCCTTCTCTTGGTAAATAAATTGTTTGGTAAACGTCTTTTGGTAAATATCATCTTGCGAGTTAGTAATAACAATTAGAAATTTTCAACCTATGTATTTATTCATATTTTTTATTAGAACAATGGCAAAACGTTCAAACACGAATGAGTCTCATGGCACAAGTGGTAGCGAAGATGAGCTCCGGATAGACGTTTATACAGATATGTTAGAAATGTTACACAGAAATGTTACTACAGATATGTAGAAGGTTTTCTTCTACAGTTAGTCCATCGTTTTGATAGCAGCGATAGTGATATCGTCCACGCAACAAGGCGACGAGAGAAAGAGTTCGCATAGATAGCGATTACAACAACGAAACAAAATTATGAAACAAACAATGACAAAATTATAAAAAATAAAATATTGATTTTTTTGTAAATTTCTCGGTTTCAGCCAAATTCATATAAGTCCAATATCATTATAACATGTTAGTTAGTTCCAAAACTATACTAAATAATACGAGGGTCTGCCGAAAAGTGGCGCCGAGTAGCTGGCAGCCAACGTCCAGAATGGTTCGGAGTGCTAAGGGTTAATCACCGCAACCAAGGAGGGAAGTTTAGTCCGAAGGATCTAGTGAGAGCTCCTGATCCACGGAATGAGAATATTTAAAAATATCCATAGTAACTACGAAAAAAGCGTAGTATACTCGTTTCCGGGTCCCCGTTTTCACGGTGCGCTGGCGAAGCATTTCCGGTATACCAGAATAGAGTTTTCCCCGATAAACGTAGCTGCTCGGAAGATTTCACTGGATTCATCGAAGTCGCATATTTCCCGATCCTCTTTGCCTTCGGCACACCCTCCATCGATTCCCTTTCTCGATCCTCTTTCTCGATGCCTTCTGAAGAGGCAGCCCTCGCGTGTGTGGCTGATCGCGCGGCTGTCTCTGATTCCGGTCCAAACCTCCTATTGCTGTGCACGAGACTTCATGGGAAGGGTTTCGGGAGTTCTGGCAGAGAGAGGGAGAGAGAGACTGATAAAATGATACAGAAAGATGGAGAGAGAGAAAGAGAGAGAAAGAGAGAGAGAAAGAGAGAGAGAAAGAACTGTGCAGGTGGAGAGAAAAAGGGAGTAAGACTGAGAAAGAAATGGAGACAAAGAGAAAAATAGAATGAGAGCAAGAGTGAGGAAGATAAAGAGAAAAACAGAGATAGAAAGAGACAGAGAGATACAGAGGAAAAGAGAAAAAGAGAGAGTGAGAGCCAGAGAAAGGAAGAGAAAGAGACGAAGAAGGAGAGAGCCAGAGAAAGGCAGAGAGAGAGAGAGAGAGAGAGAGAGAGAAGAGAGAGAGAGAGGAAGGAAGAGAGATAAGGAGTCAGAGGAAGGAAGAGAGAAAGAGTGAGAGTCGAAGAAGGGTGGAAGGTATCGCAATGCTTGGAATGTTTAATACCGGCGCAACGACACGGCACGGAGAAATGGCCGGCTTCAGCCTCGGAATAAATCTCCCGGAATCATAGCTACCTGCCGCCATTTCTTGTCTGCCAGCAGACGCCCGCTTGAAAATTTTTCACCGGCCTGCCGGAGCGGGAACGCTTATTGCGGCTCGATGCGAAAGGCTGCTTGCGGGCTCCTTCTTTTTGTCTGCTATAGGAGATCCCGCGGCTCTGTGACCCTCTGCGGTCGCCGTGATTGCAAGTGGAATGGGATTAAAGGGGGTGTAAAATCTTCACTCTTCTCGCTACGTGCCGTTCGAGGGCAGATTTATCTGCACAGGAGCCTGTGGGACCGAGACCGCCGCGCCGCGGCGAGATTAATACAGTTCCTTCTTTTTCTGGGATCCCGGTGTCTACTGGACAAGATTGCACGTGGACGTTGTCGTCGCGTCTTCAGGATGTAGACAAATGCTTGGCAAACATTGAACCCTTAGCACTCCGCACCATTCTGAACGTTGGTTAGCAGCTACTCGGCGCCACTTTTCGGCAGACCCTCGTATTATTTAGTATAGTTTTGGAACTAACTAACATGTTATAATGATATTGGACTTATATGAATTTGGTTGAAACCGAGAAATTTACAAAAAAATCAATATTTTATTTTTTATAACTTTGTTATTGTTTGTTTTATAATTTCGTTTTGTTGTTGTAATCGCTATCTATGCGAACTCTTTCTCTCGTCGCCTTGTTGCTTGGACGATATCGCTATCGCTGCTATCAAAACGATGGACTAACTGTAAAAGAAAACCTTCTACATATCTGTAGTAACATTTCTGTGTAACATTTCTAACATACCTGTATAAACATCTATCTGGAGCTCATCTTCGCTACTACTTGTGTCATGAGACTCATTCGTGTTTGAAAGTTTTGCCATTGTTCTAATAAAAAATATGAATAAATACATAGGTTGAAAATTTCTAATTGTTATTACTAACTCGCAAAATGATATTTACCAAAAAAACTTTTACCAAACAATTTATTTACCAAGAGAAGAATCACTTTTCCGATTTTCTCACTCGTTAGATCTATCTATACCGCTCGACGCTTCAAACCAGACCGAGTTCAGCTTTGAAAATCTTTTCCTCCAGATTTTATGATTATAAATCTCACTATACAGTGCGTGCTATGTTCGCATACCGATCTTTCTTCTACAAACTTGCCTTATCGCTCTTTTCAAGTGGCGTCTTCGAAGTGCTCGGACCGTCGTGAGCACACCTCTCACGTTCTCGTCAAAACCCGCTGACATTTCTTGTATATAACTTAGTAATTTTACTATATTTTGATTTGATTTCTTGTGCCGTTTCAAGAGACAACTTCAGCGAAACATGCACGTTTGAAAAAGTTGCGCTGAAATAAGTCAATTCCCCGTAATCACTAATAAACTTGAATGTCCCACGAGAGGGGACATCCGAGTGATATGCTAGAATTACGATGTCCCACGAGAGGGGACAGCGGAGTGCAAAGTGTTAATTTTGATAATATGGTATTTAATCGTAGACCACCTCAGCTGGGTTTATCTTGACTCGAATTGTTTTCGTGTTAGTGTTTACTGAATAAGCAAGGAGAAGTTTTTCTGGACATTATCTTTCAGTAACTTTTACCCACATTTTTTCCGTATACTTCTGTTAATCTGGCAAAAAATTGGTTCGGACGAATGTTTATCGGTTTTCTGTTTGCTATACAACAAAATATTTTATTTTAAGAACTTGTAGCGTCCAGTCGTGCGCACAATGGAAACTTTAGCCCTCGTGCAAACGACCAGCGTAATTTACGACTCTCCTTGGAAGAAGCTATTTTTGACATAATAAGTCCCAAACCTTGACAACGCATGTTCACAATAGAGTTTTTGTAGAGATACCTCAATAGCAAACGGAGACCGTCATAAATTAGGAGAGTTTCCGAAGGATATTCGAAGCGGACACAGCGACCCAAGGGCCATGTGGTCCGACGCGGGTGTCCCGAAGGAAACGCCGTTCCGAAAATACGCGAAGAGCGTAAGGGACAGGCGGTAAAAAGGGCAAATGAACAACGCTGATTGGAAAGGCCCAACGCGTGGGCTTAGCCAATCAGGGTTGTTCAAAAATTTTACCAGGGCAAACGGCGAGTGAAAAACGAATACTCGGTCACTGCACCGCGACTCGTCGAAAGATAAAGTCCGCGAAGAAATAAAGAGGTATTCTACACGCGCAACGAGTACGCAAGTCATTTAGAAGTATCCTATCCAAACATGTATTAGGCAATTACTTATAAAAAATAGTAGTCCTTTCGAATCATCCTACCCAAATTGGTGACCGCCGACGTGATACTTGTGCCGTGCGGTAGTGATTGCAGTGCGCCTAGACAATAGTCGAGTGACAAAGTAAAATGAATACCGAACAAAACCGTGATAGTGCCGCGATGCCGGAGGTCTATCGCGAAAGTATACCTGTACCAACGTTCTGGCCGGAGCAACCAGCGCTCTGGTTCCTCCAGATCGAGGCAATATTCGCGCTAAACGGCATCACAGCAGATGCCACCAAATTCTACTACGTGGTATCGCAGCTCGATACAAAATATGTAGCAGAAGTGGAGGATATCTTCGCAGCGTCCCCGGAAACCGAGAAGTACGAGACGCTCAAACGGGAGCTGATTCTACGGTTGTCTGCCTCGAAAAGCAAGATCTTGCAACTTCTGGAGCAGGAGGAAATCGGCGTCCGCACACCGTCCCAGCTCTTGCGGCGTATGCAGTTCCTGGCGGGGAAAATAGTGTCGGACAGTTCCCTGAGGACACTGTGGGCCAGCAGGCTGCCAGCGATGACGAAAAACATCGTCAATGCGCTGGCTTACTTACCGCTCGGCAAGGTGGCAGAGATAGCGGACCAGCTCCAGGAAGAAGCAGCCAAAAATCAGGTGGCCAGTGTTTCGACGGCGCGGAAGGATCCGATTGAAAGGTTGCTCGACAGAATGGAGCAATTGGAGATGCGGATAGCTGAACTGTGCCGATCGCGTTCGCCGAAAAGATCGTACCAGCCCAATTACCGTGGTCGCTCCAAATCAAAAGATCGGCGTCGGAGCGCGTCGCCCAGGAAAAAGGAACACTGCTGGTACCACCAGACATTCGGGAAGAGATCAACGAGATGCAGGCCGCCGTGCACGTACGGTGCGGGAAACGCGGCACACTGAATGCGGCGATCAATTCCATATTAGAGCGGACAGGTAACGAGAAGTATCTGATAGATACAGAATCGAAACTCTGCGCTATACCACAGTTTGTTGGGGACTCATCAGATGGATGACGGAGCTCCTCTGAATATTGCACTTGGTGCCGACTACCTCGAAGGACCACCCACTGTAGTGGGACTCTATTTGTAACGCGCAACCTAACCGTGACGCGTATCTCTCTATGTGTTCTGTTCTGTTCTGTCTGAAAGTCTGTCTTGTCTGTTCTTCTGTGCTTTCTGTCTGTCTGTCTGGTGTTGTCTGTACTTTCTGTCTGTCCCTAGAGGACCGGAGTCATGCCTAATATGACCTCGGTCCTCCCTACTTCTCTTGACCTAGGGTGGGCGGCAAGGAATTACGGTCCAATCACTGCAATCCCAAATCCAGTGAGACTGCCCCAAAACGGTGGGCCGGGAGTTAGGAGGGAGAGTGGCAAAATAACTCCTGCGAGACATCCCGCGCTGATGGGCCTACGTGCCCGAACAATGCCAGACCCAACCGTCATTGACTGGACCGTAATCAAGGACCAGGGGACGTTATGACGGTGCCATATGTGCCCGGGAACGGCCCGGGACAGACCCATACCGTCCGGGTGCCCAAGCACATGGCCCCTGCATAAATCCTGGCCACTTGGCCGTAACACAGTTATTTAAAAAATTTGAAACAAAACACGATTTTCGAGGACTTAATCACTCCTATCGATGACGAAAATTAAATTGAACCGATGTATTTTCATATAAATTACTTATACTTATGCTTCAAAATGTACTAATTATTTTTGTATTTTATGAATATTAAAATAAAAAATACTTAAATCAAACCTTCATATTAAATATATGTTCATGGTATAAATTATTATTATATATGTAATTTATTCAACAATTTTAGTAAATCACTGTCCTTTCGAAATATCACTTCGGTAAAATACGTCGGACAAAATTAATATATGTCAGTCATTTTTCTAAACTATTTATTTTGAAAGTGGCTCAAGTCACTTTACCNGTAAAATACGTCGGACAAAATTAATATATGTCAGTCATTTTTCTAAACTATTTATTTTGAAAGTGGCTCAAGTCACTTTACCGTAATGAAAAGTGGTGATTTTTTAATGTTTATACGAAATTATTTATACCGAGAAAAATATCAGTATCCTGAGATAACAAATACAAGTAAATCTTCTCGAAAGTTAGCATCCATATTTTGAAACGTGT